AACGAGAGCATTTAGGATCAAGTTCAAAGTATGGCCAAACATCATATCTAAAGATTCGAGTCTTACTCATGCTTTGAGTTTCTTGCGTCCCCCTTGAAGTGTCAGACATATTCAAATCCCCACTTTGAGCACTTTGAGTGCCAGTTTTCATGGTAAAATCAGTCGTCGACATCACTACCCCTTCATAGAAGCATAAATCTAATCAAGACCAGCTAGTGTAAGCATTTAACTTATAGTCCAAAAATAGAAAAGTGGATTCACTATAATAAGATAAGTAGATACCAAAACTTGAAAGCCAAAAGTCTTCATAAAAGTTGACTGGACAGGCTTTAAGAATACCACTCTTACCTTATTGTTTAGTGGAATAGCTGGAGGAAATTTGAACACTACTATTTTATGGTCATCGAATCCACTATTATTATGGGTGAGGGTGAATGCTGATTGTTGCCTATTAAAGCCTTGAATGATAAAAAAAAAAATAAAATGCCCCAAATGTTACCAGCTTTCAAGTAGAGCCTAAGGTGCACCTGCAAAGCATTTGTACCCACAGTTAGCATTTGTATCCAATCATGATGAATATATCAAGCACAATATATGGTAGGACAACCATCTAAAAGAGACTAATGTCAAAACCAGAGGACTTCTTACTCAAAGACAAAACCTGACTAACATAACTAATACAAAAACATATGAACAGACCCAAATCCACCATATTCCAACACAGCAACCAACATAGACCTTAAGAGATACAGAAATAAGAATTAATCAAGTAGGTTCTAAAACTAATGAAGGCAACTCGTAAAAAAAATAGATTCTTGAAATTGAATTTCTAGACTTAGCAGAAAATCATTTTCATCAGTAAACTTTAAACGTAATTTCAAAACCAACCACAACTCCGTTTTAGCATCCGTAAAAACTGACAAAACCCTTAATGAGTAAGTCAAAGGGTAGGTCAAAAAAATAAATCAAACAGAAAGATGTATTTCCAAGGAGATTTGATTAGTTCAAAATTCAGTCAAACAGAACTCTAATTCTGAAATTTTCACAATTCTAATTCCAACTTCAAAATCGTTTTTTGGATTGAATAAAACTCCATTTTTCATTCCGTAAAAACTGACATCAACCTTGAGAAACAAAGCAAAGGATGACAAAAAGAAATCAAACAGAAAGGTGCATTTCCAAAGAGATTCAATCAGTTCAAAATTCAGTCAACAGACTACTAATTCTAAAATTTTCAGAATTCTGATTCATGAATTACTACCGAGTCATGAATTTCTTTCCTTATTGCAAAACACATAATTATTACCAAGTCACAAAGAGGAAATCTTTAATTAAGAAGGTTTCCACTATATATGATCCAATAAAGAGATTTAATTAAGAAGGCTTCCACTCTATCTTATTTAGCACATTATACTTAATAACAAGGATAAAGAAACTTCTACATGTAGAATTAATCAAGTAAAATGACTTTCCAGAAGATGAGACTTGAGCTAAGCATAAAAAGTAATCTTTTAACTCAGAAAACGAAAATCCCAGAGAAAATTGATCCATTGTAGCTTAAATTAAGCAAGAAAGAATAAATTTTTCACGACAAGGATAATTTCAACACCCAAATTCTGAGTTGGAATGCAACACTCGAGCTAAAACAACAATACAAGGTTTCAAGATACTAAAACTTAACTCATATAATCATCAAAGTCACAAACTAAAATCCAGAAAATAAAAGTAAAAAAGAGAAGAAAAGTAATCATTACAAGGGCAGCTGAAAAAACGAGACCATAAGCAGCACAGAGACTGTAAAAGATCCCATCCTGCCATTCAGCAGACTCATTGAATAAATTGATCTTTTGAGTTCTTGAATTACCTCTTTGTCATTCAAGACGAAGTCGAGCGAGAGAGATCCGGACGTGACCGGAGCCCGGAGCTGCCGTTTCTATGGAGTCGGTGGAAGTTAGCACTAGATCTGGAAGTCAAAGTCAGGTAGATCAAAGGTTTGATGGGTATAATCACAATCCGATGGCACCGTCGTCCGTTGAGTCGCCGGAATGGAGGTCGCCAGAGTGAGCAAAAAGAAGACCCTCGGAGTGAGGGTTGAGGTGGAGTTTGTCTAAGTCTAAAAATGTGTATGAAAGAGTTTGGAAGATTTCAGTTCAATTTGATTCCAAGTGTTGACCGTTCCAGACCGTTCCATGTAGCTGATTTTCAAACCGATCCGAAACTAATATTTTGGTTCGGTTTCGGTTCGGATCGGTTTGGATCAGCGGGTCGACGCGAACCATGGGTCAAATGGAACAGCCCTAGCTGTAACTGTTTACCCTTGCTTATCTAATCAGGAATTTTATCTTAAAGAACCTATATCATACTTTTTCTGTTCAAAATTAAGGGAAGTATGCTTAATGTGATTGATATCAATGTTATATAGTATTACAAAGATGAAAAGAACTATGTGGAGAGATGTAAATCATGTGTAATGAAATGGTTATTATGAAAGTGATTTGGTGCTAGGAAGTTTAAAAACATTTCCAGCTAATATCCGGTGTTACAACTGAAAATAAAGGAATTGATTGCGTGTTTTGAAAATACTTGCTAGTTGTATCCTTTTAACCCTTCTAATTTACTAACATTTTGAGCTCCTGTATTACTGGTGGAAGTGATGGAGTGGGTCATTGCATGTTTTATAGTACTCTTAGCTATACCCTTGTATGTGAACATCTTGGGGGTGCAGCTCCAACGCTTGTGGAGTTACTGGCTGTTATATGTATAATCATATGGGCCACAAGTAGAGATTGAGCCACATATTATATTTTAATTTTGAGTCTTCAGTGTGTATATATTCTTCCTATCAGTCAAAGTTCAAGGTACCAGAACAAAAGTCTTGGTGAAATATGTTTGTCTCTGTGGGGATTGATGTACAACATCCCATCTTGACGTTGTTGTGGTTCTTGTAATTAGCTCATCTCAACACATAGCAGTTGGTGTGAACAGATTTCTGCTCTGCTGGCATATGAAACCATGTCTTTTTTTTGCTTAATCCAAAGCACTAGATGGAATTGGAACTAGTGTATTATCACATGTGATATATGCGCAGGAACGTAGTGACTTGCACTAAATTTGCATAAATGGTACTCGGAGCGATGGTGAGGATGATAAGAATTGTGACTGCAAATTTTGTCCACAAAATAGAGTGGGGAAAAGAAAAGAGACTTCTGATTCTAATCAGTAGAATAGTCAAAAGTTGATGTGTATAAGTTTAGATCAGATGAAACATTGGCAACTAAGAAGTGACCAGTTTAGAAAAGTTTTGAAGAAGCAGCAGAAGAAGATGACCTTAGTTTTTCACCCTAAGTATGACAGTGATGCTGCTGTAGACAGATTGGCAGCCTTCCACCACAGTGCAAAGACGGATCAATTAAGATGGAAAATTTTCCATCATAGTTTATGTCCTTCTGAAATTCCATAAGTGAAACTGCTACAACGTTTGCATACTCAAGCTCACAAACATAGCTTTAAGCACCATGGAAGAACTGCAAAAACAACTCTCAGACATTTTCAAAAAAAAAAAAAAAAAAAAACTCCCAGAACTACTAACATTGGTATCATATACTCCAATCCGTCCTGAAATTTATACTAATAATAAAAATCTCTAAACAAGGTAATATCTTGGGAAAGAGGTAGTACATATTACATGATACAAGTTAGGTTTCAGCATATTTACATCACAGAAAAGTCTGACGAAATTTCCAATTTCCACTACTTCCACTCTTAACAGCCTCGTTTGACTGCGTGCGAAACTCTATAAATTTTTTAGTCGAGATATTTTATAAACTGCAATGCAATCGTGCGGATATGCAAAAACAAATTTAAGTTCATTACTACTCCTGCAAGTTAATTATCCCCCGATCACCCTATTTGCCAATATTATTTTTGCTTTAATTCTCTCTTATAATGCCACGGAAATAAGTTGGGTTGGGTCATGTTTTGTGATAAAACAGTTAAAGATAATTGAACATATAATTCCTAACTAGATGTTTGTCCCGGGCGAATGCCCGGGGTGTTGCTTGTATTTTTAAATCGATTAAATAAAAAATACGAATCATTCTTAAAAGAATAAAAAAAAATAGAAGAATAAAAAATTGATTGAAATGACAGAAAGTGAGTTATTATACATAAATCTATGCCCAGATTTATAACATTTAATTTATAACAGTTAACGTATGCCCGGGTTTACATAAATCATAAACCAATATTTACAACAGAAGAATAAAAAAAATCATCCTTAAAAAATCAAATTTCTTTCATGACAGCTTATTTTGTCTCTGTTGTAGAAAGAGATGGATTGATAATTGATGTCAGATTTTAAGTAATTGATTTAAAGGTCAGGGTGTGAGAGAGGAGCGGAATGGAAGAGATTCTTTGAAATTGGGGATTGGGAAGACATTATTGTGTTTCAATTGATTTAAGGGGATTTTCTTATATTTGATTTTATTAATTAAATATTATTGTTTTAAAAGATTAGTATATACCTATAATTAAGATATTTTTATGTAGCTATAATTAACGGATTTATGTATTTATCTATTCCATCTTTTTTTTTTCTGATTAGTAAGAGTGCCACTTGTGAAAAATGATTTTGTATAGAAAATGACTTTTGGCGGGAAAATTTTCATTATAGTGCCGACTCATTTTTTTTTATTTGCTGCTTTAATTAAGTACTATAGATGTGTTATGTGTAATGCGAAAAGGGTAATATATTCAAATGATTTTTCACATTTGCCAGAAAATTTAATTTCCTTCATAATAACAATTAACTCATTGGGCCTGTTGCGTTTGTGTTTTTAACTAATTTGATCTTTTATATTTGGGGTTTTCAGTTAACCAGTTCTAATTCACGGTATTTTCAGTGAATTGTTAATATTATGGACTAATTAAGTTTTTTTTCTAATCCAACGAACATATTGAGTAAATTACTCATTTGAGTTCCAAATTTTTTTACTCTTAAAAAAATGAGCAAAATTCACACACAAAACCCACATAAAAAGAAAAAAGAAAACGAAATTCCATATTTTCACCTTCTTTTCGTCTCAAAGTTGCAGGGCCGAAATGTTTACTCGGAAATGCCGGCTTCAAATTCAAGCCATTAATGGCGGTGGCGGGTCTTTATTCTTCAAATCCCTCCTCAACCTGTCCACAACCACCCAGAAAGCGCTAACCCAAGATGCTCACATGGTGGATTACCTCATTGACAAACTTGGGTTCTCCGAAGATGCTGCCATAGCTGCCTTAAATAAGGTACCTAGCTTACGTCCTTCTCAAGAGAAAGCAGATTCAGTTGTCAATTATTTGAAAAAATTTGGAGTAAGTAAAACCCATATCAGAATTTTGGTTTCTGCATCCCCTCGTTTATTATGTTGCAAAGTTGGTAAAACCCTAGAACCCAAATTTAAGTTTTTCCAAGAACTTGGCCTGTCTGGGTTCGTTCTATGCAAAGTTGTCCTTTGTTCCAGACGTTGTGATGGACATGGATTGGATCCATTAATCAAACCCCGATTTTTCTATTTAAGACAATTGATGGGTACTGAGTCTAATCTACTTGAAGTGTTGAGAATATTTCCCCAAGTGCTTTCTTGTTTGAACACCGAAATTGTGGAGAGTAATGTGAGGCTGCTGAGCAACTATGGCATTACACATGAATTTACTATGAAATTGATGGTTAAGAATCCGATTAGGTTTTTCTCCATCAAGGCTGGGGAGATGGAGGAGATTTTAAACAGAGTTGAAAATGTTTTGGGTATTCCTCGTGAATCAGGTATGTTTCGCTATGGGGTTGAGATCCTCTTTAAGTTAAGTATGTCAACTGTTGATGAGAAATTTGGTGTGTTCCGAAGTTTTGGCTGGTCCGACTCGGAGATACTTGGAATGGTGAGGATACTACCTTTAATTCTTTCTATGTCAGGTCCTAGAATACGGGAAGTTGTTGATTATTTTATGAACGAGCTGGGATATACTCCGGACTATTTGGCTTCCCGCCCGGTTTTTCTAACATTAAGTTTTGAAAAGAGGGTGAAGCCGCGGTATGAAGTTTTGAGGATTCTGAATGAGAAGAAGTTGAACAAGAGGAAGGCAGGCTTGTTTACTGTTTTGACATTGCCTGAGTCAAAGTTCCTGAAGTATTATATTCTTCCTTACAAAGACATACTGCCAGATGTGTATAACACTTATCTCAGTAAAGCTGGAATACCAACAGCCGAGCAATAGTGTGGTGTTTCAGGTAATATACTCTTCAGTTTGGTGTCTCATATGTTGTTATTCACACTTCATTATTGGTTTCATTATTCTTGCATTCTGTTGCTCCTGCTACTAATTTCAGAGATAGGATTTATACTTACATTTTAGTGTTTTATTCTTTATGCAGTATTCAAAAACAAGTGTTGCAAGCTGATCACAAAAACACATGACTTTCAAGAAAAATGCAATATTTCATAATCATTCAATCAGAAAAATAAGTAAACTTGCGTGCAAACTAACTATTATTGATGTTTCTAGTCCCCTTCCTCAAATTTTTTTCATTGCATCTCTCTCACTATTTTAATGATGACTACGTGAGAATTTCTTTCCAATATTTAGTGACCATATGGTGTCCTATTTGCTTTCGGTGCATTTATTTCTGTCATTGACTAATTATCATTTTATTAAATCTTCCAAGAATCCTCTTCGTGCTGTACTACCTTGTTATTTGTGATTCTGTAATATTATCTTGAAGTCCTTTTGTCATCCATATTTGCAGTAACTACTGGAATGCTCAATTTTTAGCATATGGAGGTCTATTTGAATCATTTTTTACCACTCTCATAGATATTAATATTATGAAAAGGAAATAAATATTGTGGATAAATGTGTCACAAACATTGATATATGAATAATTTTAGCGTAGTCTTGAACATCTTTCGCTAATTTGTGCTACTATTGGAAGGAAAGGAGAAGATTCTTGCTCCCATTTTTAAATGAGCGCTTGCTAACTCCTTGATTGATAACTCTCGAGAAGGGTTCCTCACTTCTATTTACAAGCTGTATGTGGCATTTACAGCTTCAAATTAATGTAAAAGCGTATAGAGCACATGGCATGTGCTTTGCAGTTTGCTGTGCCAAAGGTGTAAAATCATATGGGCCAAAATTAGAGATTGAGCTAAATTTTTTGCCACTTTAATGGAATATTGTTTATCAACCTGCTACAAAGTTGCAGAATGTATGACATTGGTGAAATATCTGCCTTTGCTGTGATGATGTTCTTGAACACTTCTTGGCCTCTGAATTATATTTGCTTTTAATTGGTCGCGATTTGGGTTGGTATCAGTTGGTTAGATTAGAATTTTCCAGCATGGGAATTAATGCTGATTTCCTTATTTATCCAAAGCAGAAGGCGGGAGTGGAACTTTTCAAGTCTATAGTATGTGGTATATGCACAAGAAACAGAGGACAATATAAAGTCTTTAATCATCCAGGTTTTTGGAAAACATTGACAAATCCTGGGAAAAGAAGTTCCAAGTGCCCCAAGATTTCCACTGGTGGAGGGCTGCTGCTGATCATTACGAGAAGGAATTGATAATGGTGATTAAAAAACAAAAAAAAAGAGTTGGTGTTGGTCAACAAACAGTAAGTTTACCCTGTTTCTGGAGAAGTATCTGAATGAGTAGCAGCAATAGGATTTCAAATCTTAGTCTTTGGTTCTTCCTTTTATGGCTTCTGCAAGTATCTGCAAAATGATTTCAGCACATCTTTTCTGCTCGATGACAAGGCTTTGAGGTTACTTCAAAGAATTTATACTTAGTTGTAACAAGCAACGACGGGTATTGTTCTCTAGCTAAGAACATCCAGATGAGATGCAACCGATTCCAAAACATCATACTATCATATCATACACAGAAGTGGCTGAAGACCTTTTACAAGCAAGAAGATTTGGTTCTCTGCATGTTATGACAACTACAGTATTCTTGATGTTGACTTAGTTTACCCAAGATATAAAACATACAGTACTTCGGGAGGAAAGGCCAGAAGAGCAGAGCATGCACTCCATTGTTGAATATGCGCCAAGAATGTCAAAAGCACAGCATCATTATAACATCTTCATTGTCATAAATTGACTGAGCAATGTTTGTTTAGGAAGTTATACAGTCAATTTTTTAACTTGCTTGATGACTTCGGGACAAACTCAAGCACTTAAACTAGTTTAGTTACAACTTGATTGGAACATGGACCGAATTCAAGTCAAACTCGAACACCAAAATTATGCTTGGATGAGTCCCAAGAATTCTTGTCCTCCGATTGAATAGTTGTTGGTTTATTTTTGTGTATATGTCCACTGGGTGTTAAACCCGTTCAATGGACGGGGTAAAAAAATTTTGTGAAAACAAACTATTGAGACTGATAAATGTTTCATGAAATAAAATATATATTACAAATCTTGAAGTATTTCTTTATACACTACATTCGTTGTCATGATACTTGTCTTACAGACTTCACAACATATTAAAATTTTGAGTCCTTTTCAAGATGTAAATTTAGATAGTGCAAATGATACTTGTCTTACAGACTTCACAACATATTAAAATTTTGAGTCTTTTTCAAGATGTAAATTTAGATAGTGCAAATGTACGACTGACCATGGCTAAAATTTGGAATTGTCATCCATCTCTTCTGCTTCTTTTGCTTATTATTCCTTAGACTGTTACTACACTGCCCAAATCTGAGGATGGAAAATTTAAAAAATGGCGTAGTTGTGCTAATTGAAGATGTTGAATTGAGCAAATCCTCTGTATATATAAAATGGAAGTTCGTTAATTTAACTATAATATATATTTTTATATAAATAATATTAACCATAGTTAAACGATAAAAAATGTGTTCTATTATAATAAAGAGTCAAGATTATTTTTACTTTAATCTATCTGTATCGAGAACATTTAATTTTGGATTAAGTGGGAAGAATAAATCAGGGATAATATATCATTTGAAATACATAATTGAAAATAAATCAGGGATAATATATCATTTGAAATACATAATTGAAAATTGAAAGGAATATGTATAGTACAAACATGAAAAACATTACACATGAAACTGGTTATATTATTTTCATTTATTTTTAACTCAATTAGTTACTGATTTTTTCGAAATGGAATTAGTTACTGATTTAAATATTAAAGATTTTGCGAGAGGCAAGGCATTAACAAAAAAGAAGTTGTATAATTTATGGAAAAAAAAATTAAGTGGATCAAATTTATAGTTTTTTTTTTCAAATTGAATTTATAATTCTTTAGTTGGATAGATTTTGTCAGGTATTTCATTATTTAAACTTAACCTGCATTGATTTAAATTGCTAAAGCAAACATATATAAATATTTATCGCTCGCAATATCAATATCACCTTTAAAAATGCATAATAACTAAATTATGTTATTGCATATGTTAATATGAAATAACAAACATTAAGGTCTACATCTTTATATATAGTAGACAATTAAGATTTTATAGAACACTTTTGAAAGAATTCCTGATGACAGAAAAAACATGATAAGATATGATTTACATCTTTTAAACAATACTTTATATAAAGACAAAAGGTTTAATATATTTATAAAAATGGTAACTATTTCTATTCAAACTAAAATACACGTTAAAGGATCAATAACAAAAAAAAAAATCTGCCTTTATATAAAAATAAAATAAAACATTCTTAGTTCACAGATTGGAAAAGTTTATGTTGTTTTGAAACTCTGGTTAATATTTTTTTTTCAGGCAATTTTGGACAAATGCAAACTTTAAATTTTAAATTATAAAATAGGTTAACTTTCATGTAACTAAACCAGGTAAAATTCTTGATTTAAGGTTTTGTTTGTGTTGACCGAGATGTCACACTTAATTTGACAAATAACGTGAAAAAAATAAGTGAATGTAAAAACCAGCATATTGAAAAGAAAGTAAGATGGAAGAATATTAGTGTCGATTGGAAAAGCCGAAAAATTTATTTTATGCAATTAAATACACATAAGTGGAAAGTTGTAATTGCAATAAACAATAACTTATTGTACTAGGAAGCAATATCAGTTAAATGCAAGAATTCAATATCAAAAAGACATTAATTTATAATAATAAGAAGTTTTAACTGCATTCTCATATATATATATATATATATAAATCATATTATATTTCTCATATATAACTATTTCTATTCAAACTAAAATACACGTTAAAGGATCAATAACAAAAAAAAAAATCTGCCTTCATATAAAAAAATAAAACATTCTTAGTTCACAGATTGGAAAAGTTTATGTTGTTTTGAAACTCTGGTTAATTTTTTTTTTCAGGCAATTTTGGACAAATGCAAACTTTAAATTTTAAATTATAAAATAGGTTAACTTTCATGTAACTAAACCAGGTAAAATTCTTGATTTAAGGTTTTGTTTGTGTTGACCGAGATGTCGCACTTAATTTGACAAATAACGTGAAAAAAATAAGTGAATGTAAAAACCAGCATATTGAAAAGAAAGTAAGATGGAATAACATTAGTGTCGATTGGAAAAGCCGAAAAATTTATTTTATGCAATTAAATACACATAAGTGGAAAGTTGTAATTGCAATAAACAATAACTTATTGTACTGGGAAGCAATATCGATTAAATGCAAGAATTCAATATCAAAAAAACATTAATTTATAATAATAAAAAGTTTTAACTGCATTCTCATATATATATATATATATAAACAATCATATTATATTTTATATACAAATAAGCAAAGAACATCTTCGAATTGTATTTGATATATTATAATAATTGTAAAGAACTACGTACTATTAGTATTTATAATCTTGTTATTGCCGGATGAACAAAAAAAATGATTGGACGCCGCGTAATTCATTATTCCAGACATAAAACCGAAGGAATTAGTAATTGAGGATTGCGTGTATCTTGAACTATCTCTGCCGCATTTCCTTCTCCATTTGCATGCCATAATCATTCGCCTCTCGTATCTGGCTCGTGCCGCTTTTCTTTGGAAAAAGCACCTTATTTTTCCAAACATCAAGAATACGTTTCCTCTTCATTCTTGCTTCAACATAACTTCCGTATTCCAATTGAAATTGGAGAAATAAAAATTTTGCTTGTATTTAGTGAGTTTCGAAACTGAGAAAACATGGCATGTGTTACTTATAGGCTACGCCATATACAAGAGTACATCTAGTTAAGAAAACAGAATTTAGCAATCTTTTTAGAATTCAGATTTTTAATTTTGAAAATAAAATCTATAAAAAGTTAGGATTTTATACGATAAAAATTCTTGTAAATATTTGATCTTTAAACAACGGATTTGGAATTAATAATGTGACAGTTTCAAATAAGTTGATTTGTCAAAAGTAAATATTTATAATCCCTTATTTTACTACGAAAGGATATTAATTTTACCATATTATGACAAAAAGTAAATAATAACATATAATTTTAACTGAAGATATAATTTTTTTCCTTTTTAATAAATCAAAAAATGGAAAAAAAATTCCCAATCCTACTTGGCAGTTGGAAAAGTATCCCAGTTTTCTCTCTTTGGGTTTTCTATTATTAAGTTATATAGAAGATAGATAGATTTTAAACAACTTCATATTTGAGGTTAAATAATATTCCGCATTGAGTTTTGAAATTTGTACTAGTTTTAGTACAAAATTAAAAACTCAATTTAGATTATTTTTTTGAAAAAACGGTATTAATTATTTTTTCAGGAAAAAGGACAAAAACATCATTCGAGTTATGTCCCAAGCACTAATAGTGCTCTAACATTTACTATAAGGACAATTATTCCATTTGATCACCGGTCAGTGGCAAAAGTGACCTTTGATGGCATAATTAACTAAAAATGTGTAAGACAAAATTACCTTTTTTTCATTTAAAAACATATTTTTTTTGTACGATGCTAACTTTTCCAAACAAATATTTTGTTTAAATTGCAGAAAAAATTATTTTGGGACAAGACATTTACTAAATTTTCTTAAAAACAATTTTTTAATAAAATAATTTAAGTAAAAATCAATTTATTTATATTTCATTTTTTTGTTAAAAAAGATATAGTTTAACCATATTTATATTCTGATTTCAACAATAATGGACAAATTCAAAATATAAATAATGTTGAAATTATCCTATTTTATGGGCAAATTATATCCCTTTTTAAAAAATCATACTTCCTATAAATCAATCTTTTACTAAAATGAATTTATTTTAATAATTTTTAATAAACATCAGTGAATATACCCTAAATAAATTGTTCAATTGTTTCTTAAGGAAAATACGCCATTAAAAAAAAAGATAAATGTACATAAAAAATTGTTTTTCGCTAAAATGGTATTTTTGTCTTTACACATAGTTTTTTTGTCAATTCTGTTGTAGAGCGGGGCAACTTGCCGTTGATTGGCAGTAAAAGGATAATTGTCATTATAAGAAATATCGGGATGGTATTAGTTTTTGGGACATGGTTGTTCTTTCCTTTTTTTTTTTTTTTTGTAATGGCCTCACAATTTAAATAGTTTATCAATTTATACTAAAATCACCCTTTCATATTTGAGTTTATCTTTTACTCCCTCAATTTAGAAATATATGTCATTTTAGGATTTGATGAATTTTTTTAAATATATGTCGTTTCACAAATCGAGACATATTTGACCATTTTTTACCAATATTACCTTTACATTGGAAATGAAACAATATTTATAATAAATTTTTATTGTTTTATGATGGATTGTATAGACAATAGATAAGGGTATTTTTATATTTTAACTACATTAATTAATATTTTCTTGGTTTTGATGATTTCTCTAGAAAGACATTAAAAAAAATTGAGAGAGTATCAAGTAACTTTTTTTAATTTAAATTTCATTGTTGTCTTCAAAATTTGCTACTACTTATAGCTTTCCATATTAATATACCAATTTTAGCTCAATATTTAGATCGATTAATATATCCTCAGAAAAATATTGGTTACAATCAAATCAACAAGAATTATTTTGGGAGTTGCGAGTGTGATTTTATATCATTAAATTTCACAATTACAATAAGTGCGTTGCTACTGCCGATGAAATTTCATAGGGAATTAGTAGCGTATATGTACTCCCAGAAAAACGTGAGAATCTTACAATAAGTATTACTCCCTTTGTCCCAAAATTATTGTCCACTTTGAGATTTCACTTTTAGTACAATTTGTACTAAAAATGAATATTCAAATTGGACAATAATTATGGGACGGAAGGAGTATATAGAATCTTACAATGTACTCCCACAATTACAATAAGTACTATATAGAAAAATGTGAAAAAAAAATATTTTCTTAGATAAACCCAGAAAAATTAAAACTATCTATATTTTCCTCTTGATTTATTTCTTTTATAAGCTTTTTGTGGATCTCCAGTCAATTGAATAATTCATTATTAATATGTACTCCTTCCATTCTTAAAAATATATATCTTTAGGGTTTACAAAACTTTTTAAAATATATACTGTTTTACAAAATTGAGGCCATTTTTACTTTACTTTTCAAAATTACTCTTGCAGAAAAAATGAAATGATATACATTATAAAATAAGATTGTATTAGTTGGTGATAAGTTATATGGATAATAAATAAGGATATTTTTTACTTTAAACACATTATTTAGGCTCTGTTTGATAAAAAAAAAATTAAGCACTTAAACTTGTTAATTAAGTACTTAATTGATTAGCACTGTTTAATAACACAATATCATAACAACTTAATTGATTAAGAACTTAATTTATTAAGGACTTAAATAAGTGCGTTTGATAAGTCAAAATAGGACGTCTTAATAAACTAAGTGGGTCTCAAATACTAGTACAAATATGAGCATAAAAATAAGTAATAGGCCTAACTGAATTTTTGAGACGATTTTTTTCTATTTATTTATTTTTATGTTTATACTTTTGATATTTTATCTTGAAATATTTTTATTAATCATGATGTCTAGTTCTAAATTAAAATTTATGTAAATTATTTTTTATTTAATAAATATTTATTTTTATATAAAATTAAAATCTATTAAATTCCATGATCAATATATATTTACCATAAAATATGAATTTTTTTATCAATGATAAAATATGACATTATTATTAATTGAAAAAATAATAACATAATAAAATATAAATATTTTATTACATTATTTAATAATATTATTATTATTTTTACTATTATAGTTTCATATACATCAATTATTTTTTTAGATAAAATTATAAGTCGAGATACTTTAAATTTCAGTGTTCAGACTTCAGATTTCAGAAATTTTATTCTGTGTTTAGATTTTGGTTTTTATCAAACACGACAAGTTTAATCAATTCAGTACTTATGATTCAGTTATCAAACGGGCCCTTAATGTTTTATTAGATTGAATTTGTTTTAGAAAAAAACATATATTTTAAAATGGAGGGAACACAAATTACTTTTGATGTTAATGGAATTAAGTTTACCCATATTTATTTTTTACTACATAAATTATTATCTATATTCCCAAAAACATTGTTCACATTAAGTTTTGATATTTGTATCCATTTACGTAGTACTTTTACTTAAGGTCTGTATTTGATTTAAGTTTTTATTATGTTTAAGTTTATTAGAGTATCGAAAGAGTAATTACGTCGAAATTTTAATTGAGATTTGAGGATAATAAAAATGGAGTAAAAAAAATAATTAAAGCAATATTCCAGCTTCATTGTTTACTACTGTCGTCTCAGTTCTCAAAATTGCGGGGGACTCCAATGCTGTCTGGGAAATTCTGGCTTCAGATTCGAGCCATCAATGGCGGTTCCCGCTCTTTCTTCTTCAAGTCGATTGGCAGCTTCTCCACCACCACCACCACCACCTCCCAAGCGGCGGAAGTCATCCGAATTGCTGACATGGTGGACTATCTGATGAACTCCCTCGGCTTCTCCAAAGATGCTGCCATAACCATTTCGAGTAAGGTACCTCGCTACCGTCCTTCTCTAGAAAAAGCAGTTTCAGTTTTCAATTATTTCGATAAATTGGGTGTAAGTAAAATGCAAATCAAGAGTATGGTTTCTAAATATCCCGGTTTATTATGTTGCAATGTGGATAAAACCCTAGATCCGAAAGTTAAGTTTCTCCGAGAACTTGGTCTGTCTGGTTTGGACCTGTGCAATGTTATTGCAATCTGCTGGTCAATGGCATTGGATCCGTCAATTAAACTCCGTATTTTGAATTTACGAGAATTGGTGGGTACTGATGATTATGTAGTTAGAATTTTGAGGAGATGGCCTTTTGTGCTGCGCGGTTGGGACACTGAAATGGTAGACAGTAATTTAGAGCTGCTGAGAGACTATGGCATTACCTATGATAATATTGTGAAATGGATTGCGAGGCAGCCTCGGAGTTTTTTCACCACAAAACCTGAGGTCTTGGAGGATATTTTACATAGAGTAGAAAACGTTTTGGGCATTCCTCATGGTTCAGCTATGTTCCACCATGGCTTTGACCTCCTCTGTTCATTTGATATGTCAAAGGTTTATGAGAAATTCGGAGTGCTCCGAAGCTTTGGCTGGCCTGAATCACTTATACTGAAAATGGTTAGGACACACCCTCTTACTTTCACCAGGTCAGCTTCTGTAATACAGAAAACTGTTGATTATTTTATGAACGACCTTGGATACAGTATGGACTTTTTGGCTTCCCACCCTTCTTTTCTTTCATATAGTTTAGAAAAGAGGGTGAAGCCTAGGAATGAAGTTTTGAAAATTCTAAATGAGAATAAGTTGAACAAGAGAAAGGCAGGTTTGTTTTCCGTTCTGGGTATGCCAGAGCCCAATTTTCTGAAGGAGTATATTCTTCCTTACAAAGATATACTGCCAGATGTCTATGGCAGTTATCTCAGTAAAGTTGGCATACTGCAGATCAAGCAATAATGATGTATTTCAGGTAAAGTCCTCTTCAGTTTGGTGTTTCTATTCATTATTACATTCATTGATTGTTTAGTGTGTCTCGTTGCTGCTGTTACTTTTCAGAGGAATTGTGATCTGGAACTTCTCTGTAGCCTGAAGTTTATTGCCTTATTCCGAATCATGTGGAAGCTTATGGCTGTGAAATACCCCACTTATCCAAATAAAAAAAAAAGAAAAAGAAAAGAAAAGAAAAAGAAAGCATTTATTTTAAGTTTTAGGGTTAACTGCTCAATCAGTAAATAAGCAAACTTGTTCTGCGCATTGAAAATCGTTGATTATTCTGGTGTTTGTTTTGATGGATTTGAATCTTTCATTATTGTGTTTTGTGTGATTTATTGTCTTTTGTCTCTGACAATTGTCATTACTAATTTACTAGTACAGGCTCCAACTGTTCCTTGCTTTTTTGAATCAGGAAATTCATCTTAAGGAACCTATATTATACTTTTTCGGTTCAAAATTAAGAAATGGAAGTATGCTTAATGCGATTGATATCAGTATTATGAAGATGAAAACGACAACGGGGAGAGATGTAAATCATGTATATTGAATTGGTGATATTATTTGATAAATTATGAAAGTGGTTTGGTGCTAGTAAGTTTACAAACTTTTCCAGCTAATATCCGATGTTACTATTGTCATTTGAAAGCAAAGGAGTTGATTGCATGTTTTAAAATACTTCTCTGTATCCCTTTCAGTTCACAAACATTTTGAGCATCCTGTATTACTGCTGGAGGGGATGAAGTAGGTCATTGCATGTTTTATACGTAGTACTCGTAGCTATGCCCTTGTATGTGAACTCTTGGGAAGTGCAGCTCAACACTTATGGGGCTACAAGCTGTTATATGTATAATCATATGGGCCACAAGTAGAGATTGAGCGATTATTTTTTTGGTGTTTGAGGCTTCAGTCTGTTGTAGTCTTTCTTGCAATCAAAGTTGAAGTTATCATAACAAAAATCTTGTTGAAATTTTTCCGTCTGTTGGGATTGATGTACAACAACCCATCTTGACCTTGCTGTGGTTCTTGTAATTAGCTCATCTCAATATATAACAGTAGGTGTGAACGGAGTTCTGTTCTGCCGGCATATGAAACCATGTCTATTTTCTTCTTAATCCATAGCACTAGATGGAATTGGAACTAATGTAACATAATCTGTGATGTATGTGCAGGAATGTACGGACTTGCATTAAATTTGCCCATGATTGTGACTGTAAATTTTGCCCATATAAAAAAGGAGGGGAGGCGGAAGTAAAAGAGACTTCTGACCAGTAGAATAGTCAAAAGTAGCCATGTAACGTGTACCCGTTTAGATTAGAGAAAACATGGGCAACCAAGAAGTGACCAGTTTAGAAAAGTTTGGAAGAAAAAGCAGAAGAAGACCTTACTTTGGGAGGAAAGGCCAGAAGAGCAGAGTATGCACTGAATGGTCGAATATGCGCAAGAAATGCACAGCATCATTATAACATCTTCATTATCATAAATTGACTGAGCAATGTTTGTTTAGGAAGTTATACAGTCAATTTTTTTTAACTTGCTTGACGAATTCGGGACAAACTCAAGCACTTAAACTAGTTTAGTTACAACTTGATTGGAACATAGACTGAATTCAAGTCAAACATGAGTAACAAATCATGCTTGGATGAGTCGCAAGAATTCCTGCCCTCCGATTGAATAGTTGTTGGTTTTTTTTTTTTTTTTTTGTGTATATATGCTTTTTAAACGACTTCAAAATCATGTTTCCGTTGAATTATAATTCCTTTTATGGCCTCACAATTTAATATTCACTACACTTATAAGATTGTTGTGAATCCCTAAATTGTTAACCCACCTTAAAGATTTATAAATTGCTTTTGATAATTTCATCAATTTTTATTTTTTTTTATGTTTATAAGCTTATTAGAGAGGCAAAAAAAAGTACTACTACTACATAATAATTATGTTCGAAACTTTAATTGAGATTTGAGAATAATTAAAATGGAGTAAAAAAAATATAGAAGTAAAGCAATATTCCAGCTTCACCGTTTAACACTGTCGTCTCAGAGTTCTCAAAATTGCAGGGGGGCTCCAATGCTGTCTCGGAAATTCTGGCTTCAAATTCGAGCCATCAATGGCGGTTTCCCACTCTTTCTTCTTCAAATCGATTGTCAACTTCTCCACCACCACCGCCGCCACCAAAGAGGCGGAATCCACCCAGAATGCTGACACGGTGGATTACCTCATCAACTCGCTCGGCTTCTCCAAGGATGCTGCCATAGCCACTCTAAATAAGGTACCTCACTCCCGTCCTTCTCCGAAGAAGGCCGATTCAATGGTCAATTATCTAGAAAATTTGGGCATAAGTAAAACCCACATCAGAAGTATGGTTTCTCAAACCCCGAAGTTGTTATGTTGCAAGATGGATAAAACCCTAGAACCCAAAGTTAAGTTTTTTCGAGAACTTGGTCTCTCCGGGTCGGCCCTTGTCAAAGCTATCTCGGGTTGCTGGTGTCGAGGATTAGATACAACAATCAAATCTGGAGTTTCATATTTAAAAAAATTGACGGGTTCTGATGATAATGTAGTATTGGTGTTAAAAAGATGGCCTAGGGTGCTTGTTTTTTTGGACGTGGAAACTGTGGACAAGAATCTAAAGCTGCTGATAAACTATGGTCTTACCCATGATGATATTGTGAAATGGATCACTAGACATCCGAGCAATTTTTTCACCATAAGGCCTGACCACATGAAAGATACTTTACATAGAGTAGAAAATGTTTTGGGCATTCCTCGTAATTCAGCTATGTTCCTCTATGGGGTTGAGATCTTCTCTTCACACGATAGGTCAAGGGTTGATGAGAAATTCGGAGTGTTCCGAAGTTTCGGCTGGCCGGAATCGGTGATACTGAAAATGGCAAGGTCACAACCTTTCATTCTCACCAAGTCTACTCCTAGAATACGAAACGTTGTTGATTCTTTAATGAATGAACTTGGATAGAGTCCGGACTACTTGGCTTCCCACCCAGTTTTTCTTACACTTAGTTTTGAGAAGAGGGTGAAGCCACGGAATGAAGTTTTGAAAATTCTTAACGAGAAGAAGTTGAACAAGAACAAGGTAGGTTTGTTTACTGTTGTGATCTTGCCTGAGTCAAAGTTTCTGAAGTATTATATTCTTCCTTACAAAGACATGCTGCCAGATCTGTATAACACTTATCTCAGTAAAGCTAAAATACCAGAAGCCGAGCAATGATAAGGTGTTTCAGGTAATATACTCTTCAGTTAGGTGTTTCATGTGTTGTTACTCTTGCTTCATCATTTGTTTCGTTCAGTATTTAGTCTGTCTTGTTGTCGCGGCTCATTTCAAGGATAAGAGATATGCTTATAATTTTCCAATTCCTGAAGGAGCATTCTTGATGAAGTGTTGCAAGCTTATCACCATAAGCAACCAACCTTCAACAACAAGAATACAATGTTTTATTATTCAATCAGAAAAATGCGTAAACTTGTGACTGACTATATTGATATCTTCATTGTATAATCTAATATTTTCTCTCGCTTAGGTCTACGATATGTGTAGGTTGGAATTTTATTACCTTTGGAGTGAATGTACTAGTTATCTTATGTTGTCCTGCGAGTGCTCGGTAATTTAATGGCTAATATTGACTCGGTTTATTTCGACCTCCTAAAATCTATCTGCTGGCTTGAATTGGTAATATGATTCGGAAGCGTGTGGTTTTGGAGTAACATATGTTATAAGTGTTGAAATACTACTAATGTTAAGTGAATCTTTAAGAAGTCCAACTCTAGTATGTTGAATATTAAGCTAACTCCTTGTGTGAGAATTCCTCAGGACTGCTCCTTGCTGACGGGGTACAAGCTGTACGTGTGGTTTTACCCCTTCAAAATAGCAGTTTGGTGTGAAAAAGGTGTAATATCATATGGGCCACTAGTAGAGATTGAGTTAAATATTTGCGATCAATCATGTTTTTATGCAGTATGGCATAAGACTTTGGTGAAATTATCTGCCTTTCCTACTCCATGATGTTTTGGAGCACATCTCACCATCTGATTTATTGTTACATTTTATTTAGTTGCCATTTGGGTAGATATCTCTTTGGTGAGATTATCTTAGTCCAGCATGGGGAGATTGTCTTAGTTATGCAAAGGACAAGGTGGAAGTGGTGCTTTTTAAAATTGATAATTGGTGGTATGTATGCAGGAACAAGAGGATCAAGAATTCGATGCAAAAAATCCTCACTGAATTCAGTTTTTTGAAAAACATTGTCAGACAGAGGAAAAGAAGTTCCAAGTGGTTGAACATTTCCAGTGTTGGAGGGAGGACTGCAGATCATACTGTGAGGAAATGACAGTTTTTGTTATGTCAAACTGAGGAGGGTATGTATAATTGGAAGTCCGGCATTTGGATTTTATGCTGAAAGCCTATCACAAATCGGGCAGCGTTTGTTATTGATCCCTTACAAATTATGATAAGATGTAGTTTCAAAATCACAGTACTTTCTTCTTATTTAGTTAGTCTTCTTATTAATCTTTTGTTTCAGTTCTTCATCACAATATAGCCCTGGAACTAGACTTCCCCGGACTGTGTTATGCAGGTCTAGAAAGTGAAGCACCTATGATCAAACAATAAAAATATCACAAGCGGTGGATCGTCATTATCACTTGGTCAAAAGTTCAAACCAAAATTCAACGTGCGCAACTTGCTGTGATTACACCTTACAAGTTACGAGAGAGCAGAGGAAGCAGAGCCATTACTAAACCGGACAATTTTAGTGGTGTTCTCTTCTTTCTTATGATTCCTAGCCTTGGCAAGGGAGAACCCTTTTTGTTGATGTTGTGGCTGAACATTGTATAATGCTCACAATTTCTAAGAGTAAAAACTCCCTAAATTAATACTTTATAAATTAATAAACTCTATTAAATAATAAAACTTTTTGGTCTCAGGTACAAAAATCAATCAAAATCGATAAATTAATTCGGTAATAAATTTTTTTTAAAAAAATTCCTAAATAAATATAGGTCCCCTAAAAATCATAAATTAATAATGATATAAAATGCCAAAAAAAAAAAAAACTTTAAGAAGTAGGAAACTATTGAGTTTTGTTTTTTTTTTTCTTTAAGTTTAGGTGTAATAAAATTTTATTTTTGATTTTTCTCCAACTAGTAAGTAAAAATAATAGCATTAAAAATAAATTTGCTCTAATATAGGACTTTTTTTTTTTAATGGACTCATATAAATCTATTTATGCTCACAAAAAGAAAAAAAATAGTGTTTCTAACCATTTTGGCTTTTTTGGGCCGGCCAAAAAAATAACCTCTACTTCATCGTAATACCGAAATTACTAAGAGGAATCATATATAAAATATCAATTTATCGATAAAATAATAATTTTTAAAAATTAATAAATTTCTAGGTGCTAACATCATTAATTAATAATATAATATATAGAATTTTTACTATATTTTTTTACGAATTCATACAGAATGAATAAGAGGCAATAGAGGGTTTTTTTAAATTTTTTTTTATGGAATATGAATATATTTCTCAACATTTCGGTTTCATGAGTTTATATTAGTTTCGGACAGTTAATATTTGAGCCGGCCCAAAAAAGTAACCTCATCCTCTATGAGGAATCATCAGCAGTAGTATAATCGTAGCCCTGGCCTATGTGCGAGGGTATCATGTCCATAATCATTAGAGAGTGAACTACTTAAGTACTCCGTAGCCTCTTCTAATTCGGACAGTCTACCTTCTTAATGTGCCTTAATTTATACTGATAACCGGCCTTGCCTTGTCCCGATGTGGGACTAATTAATAATGAATGCATCCCAGTATATTTTTCTTTTATTCTTTGAACTTGAACACCATTCAACAAACACTTATAATAAGGGGATGGATTTTTAAAGCCACCCCCTTTAGTACTCAAAGCCACCTAAAAAAAAATTGGACGATTTTGCCCCCATAACTTATTACAGTAGAGAGAGAAAGAAAATGAGTAATTCAGAGGTAAAAAAAAAAAAACTTAAAAAAAACCGAACCGGACAAGAAAATCGTCCCGGTTGAACTGGAGACGCGGAACAAACGTGTCCCGGTTGAACCGTGGACGCGCAACAAACGCGTCCGGTCAACGCGTCCACGGTTCAACTCGGACGCGTGTGTTGCGCGTCCGGCCATTGAACCCCGTCCAACCGAACGGGCCGGTTCGATGAACAGTTTTTTTTTAAATTTTTTTATTTTTTTTATTTTTTTAATTTTAATTTCATGCATATTATGTTAATTTAATTAAGTAGGAATATTATTAATTTATTTGTTAATTTAATTAGTTATGTTAAGTAATTTAATTAGTTGAATTTTATTTATTTATTGCATGTTATATTAATTTAATTAAGTAAGAATATTATTATTTTTATTTGTTAATTTAATTAGTTATGTTAAGTAATTTAATTACTCAAATTTTATTTATTTATTTAGGTTTAATTAATTAGAAATAATATTTATTTCGGGGGATTAAATAATTAAAGAATTTTGTGGAATAAGTATTTAATTAAGTATTGGAAATGTAATTAATTAAATATTTAATTAATCGCTAAATTAGTGAATTCTAGCTATTTAGGTAGGTATTGGGAAATTTAATTTAGTAAATAATTTTGGATTAGTTGATTTTTGTATTTTTTATAATTAATCTTTTTACTGTAAATATCTTTTTTTATTATCTATTATAATTGTATATCTTTTTTAAATGATTGGAATGTGTATTTAATTTAACTAATCCAAAATACTGGGTGTAAATTTAATTTATATGTGCACTTAGTTGATGAAAAGTGGCGCATTCGGGTGTATCCTGGTGAGTTTGGAATGCATAACCACGAGTTGTTTGACAAGGTCATCCCACGAGGGGCCTTAGCGATGGAGTGAAACAGCTTATACATGGTATATCCAAATATGGGTGCAGACCATGTCAGATCATGGCTGCGATTGAGAGGATATTTCCTGATGAAAAAGTTAACAGACGGCAAGTCTACAATCACAATAAACCTATAAACAAAATTTTATTCATCATTATCATATTTTCATGGTCTAAACAAATAATTATACAAATCTTAAATAGTTTAATAATTAAGTATACTTTGATTAAACGTACAATTCTTATAATAATTAAGTAAACTAAAATACTTTATCAAATTTTTTATTAAATTACTATTAATTATAATTAATCCAAAATACTCAACTATTTTACAAAATATTTATATTAATTTAATTAATCATAAACTACATTACAAACAAATTAGATTAGCTTTACTAATCTACTATTAATTAAATTAAAATTATAACCTAAATACTTTAATAACTACTTAAATTAAGTAATTTAATCAATTAAACTAATTAGGTAGTGAACTAATCTACTATTAATTAAATTAGTCTTTTAAACTCAACTAATTTACAAACTAATCAAATTAAATTATTTACACAATTAAACTAAATAACCAACTAATAGAGAACCTCAATCTAAATAACAAACTATTAATTAATAAATAACTACATTATAAACCTAATTACATTAAATTAAACATAATTAAACACTAATAATGAATTAAACAAATTTAAAAAAAAAAAAAAGCATTCTGGCTGCCGGATGGCCAAAGAAGCCGTCCGGCGGCAACACAAAAAAAATAAAAAATAAAAAATTTTCTACCCGGCGGACGGGCATGGAAGCCGTCCGGCGGCTCGAAACGCGTCCCGGTTCAACCCGGAACGGGCGTTTTGCTCGTTCCGAGTTGAATCGGGACTCGTTGTTTGCGCGTCCTGGTCGCGCCGCCGGACGGCTTCCTTGGCCGTTCTGGCGGCCAGAAATTTTTTTTTCTTTTTCTACAATTCACAATTTTTTTTTTAAAAAAAGAACGTATTCGTGATGAGATCGGCTCTTTCCCGCTTTGATTCTTCCGTGTTGCCATCAATTTTGGATCAAATTAGACTTCAAATTGGGGTTTAGAAGGAAGGTGGCTTCAAGTTTTCTCTCTTTTTTCCTATGGTGGAAGTTTGAAATGTCATGGGCAAAATGGTCCAATTTTTTTTAGGTGGCTTTGAGTAGTAAAATTGGTGGCTTCAAAAACTAACACCCAATAATCAATGCTTTCTCGCAAATGCTGGCTTCAAAATTCGTGCCATCAATGGCGGTTTTCGGCTCTGTCCTCTTCAAATCAATCGACAACTTCTCGACCACCGCCCACCAAGTGGTGGCATCCCGCCGGAATGCTGCCATAGCCACCTTTTAAGTAAGGTACATCACTTTCGTCCTTCTCTAAAGAAAGCAGATTCTCAGTAATCAATTATTTGGGAAATTTGGGTATTGATAAAACGCACATCAGATATATGATTCATGGTTTCCCTCGTTTATTATGTTCCAATGTGGATAAAACCCTATAACCCAAATGTAAGTTTTTCCGGGAACTTTGTCCTGTCCGTGAAGGAGTTATCATAGGTAGCAAATATTTGGTCGGGGTTGTGGATTGACATCAATAAAATCCCGAGTTCTCTATTTAAAGCAATTATTGGGTTCTTAAAGGTAATTTAGCTAAAGTGTTAGGGAGAATGGAGATATTCTGCGGTGCTTGCTGAATTGAACTCCACAACTGTGGAAACTAATTTAAATCTGCTGACTTGCTGAAATACTATGGCTTTACCGATTCAAGCATCTCAAATTTCATCACTAGGGCCCCTAGAAGTTCTTTTTTTCCCCACTAATCCTGAGGAGATGGAGGCTATTTTACATGAAGTAGAAAATGGTTGGGACATTCCTCGTGAATCAGCTATGTTCCGCATTGGAGTTGAGGTCCTCACTTCATTGGGGAGGTCTAACATTGATGAGAAATTCGGGGTGTTTCGAAATTTTGGCTGGAGTGATTCAGAGATACTGAGAATGCTTCAGAAATCACCTCTAACTTTAGGCAAATCAGCTGCAACAATTTGACAAGCTCTTGATTATTTTATGAATGAACTTGGATATAGATCAGATTATTTGGCTTTCCGCCTGGTTTATTTACATTCAGTTTGGAAAAGAGGGTTAAGCCACGGATTGAAGTTTTGAGAATTCTAAATGGGAAGAAGTTGAATAAGAGGGATGCAGTCATTTATATGTTTTGTGCATGTCAGAGTCAAAGTTCTTGAAAGGTTATATTCTTCCTTACAAGGATATTCTGCCATATGTATGCGATGCTTATATCAGTATACCTGATATACTGAAGATCAAGCAATAACGATGTGTTTCAGGTAACGGCTTGGTTTTTTATATGCTGGTTTCATTGTGTTTTGAACTGTACTATTAATTATTTTCTTACTCTTGAAAGTCGCCGTCTTTTGGGCACTGAATCTGATTAAACTACATAAACAGAGACAGGGACCTTGTGACCTGGAATATCTTTTACAAGCAAACTGTTAGTGTCCTAATTTCCAGAACATCCAGCAGGGGAACCCTTGTGTGCAGGAGACAAACTTTTGACAAAAATGCAGTCTTTGAGTTCAAATCTCTAAATAGTGAACCTTAATAAACGCACTGAGAATTGTTGATTCCTCGGTTTCCTTCTCCAAACTTCTCTTTTTTAACATTCTCTTTGGTTTATGCCATGACTGGATGTCAATCGTTGATATGACAACTTTTTGGTGGCCAACGGCGATGGCGTCTACAAATAGCTGCAGAAAGATTGCACTTCTTTGATGGATATGATAAGGCTTTGAGGTTACCTCAAAGACATTGTAACTAACAAAGGCAGGTACATACTGTTGCTTCATTAAATTGATTCGATAACATCATCTTCTTGGAAGGACAAGAATCCTACACCCAAACTATATGATTCAAGACATGAAATTTACTTACTTTTAGAAGGGCTATCAGAAGCGAGGGACTGTTTAGCCATCCATGAGAGCTGGTGTTCTTTATCCAAATGAATGGGTTACATCTAGTATTTCTTGTAGAATGAGCTTCATCGTTCTGATGCTATTTACTTATATTACCCTACTATAACATTTACTCTTATGCACAAAGTAGAATTAAAAAGGTTACTTGGTGAATTATTATGCTCTTTAAAATGTACAGCTTTTTTCCCCCATTTCCCATCTTCCTCTTGCTGCAAAGAAAATAAGGGCTTATTATGTGTTGACATTAATTTGGCTTACCGAAAAATACTCACTACACTTAGGAGACCTAGGCTCTGTTTAGGCTGTGGGTTGTGACTTATCCAAACACATTTGGACCGTTGACTTCCAAAAAACTTTTTGGCCAAAGTATCCCTCTGTCTCAAAATTATTGTCCTTTGAGATTTTACTTTTAGTACAATTTAAAATAGAAAAGAAAACTCAAACTGGACAATAATGATGGGACGGAGGGAGTAATTGTTTTCTTCTCCAATAACCTCCAATCATAACCTTCGATCACCGTTGACTTTGAAAAAGTCCAAACACATTTTTTTTTTTCTCTCATCAATGACTTCGATGACCAGAGCTTATCAAAAGATTTATGGTTGTTATATGTTCATGACAGAATTTAAATCTGCAACTTATGATTGAAGCCTTCTACTCCACAAGAATCCCTATTATCCCTTTGACTTTGAAATTAAATCTTAAACATGTAATAAACAAATAAAACACAAACCAGAACATTAAACTATATGAACTTAGTTTTTCTCTATGTTTTGCGGTTCCGTCTGCTTCCAAATACTGAAGCTCTTGCCGTTTTGTAGGCATCATATCCACCAAACACATTTAGTAGGCATCATTTCCACTAAACACATTAATTTGTGAATTTAGAAATCCTCTGCCAAAAACTGTGCGCGTCTTTGCTGAAACCATATCCAAATTGGCAAGTTTCCACCGTGCAAACTAAAATTCCAATAGCGCGTCTTTTTTTTTTTTTTTTTTTTTTGTGTGTGTGTGTGTGTGTGTGTGTGTTTTTTTTTTGTGCAAGTTGGCTGCCACCGTATATCTGCAGTTTCAAACAATTTGGCCAAAATTTTCTTCATTTCCATTAAATGGAGTAGTTGGGCATACATGGGGTTGAAGTTGAACCCCATCAATCATGTGATTTTCATCATTACCACACCGAGTGGGGGGTGGGGTTGTGGGAATAAAAAGAAACAAAAGCTTGATCTAATTCGCTTCGCATGCTGTAGCCCGTCAAAAGCCGAAAGATATGCAGCTTTGAAATTTGGACATTTTGCTTCTGACTTATTTCCAAATTTAAAATACTACACATTGACTTTTTCAATTTTACAAAATTCATAAATTACTCTAATGGATAACTTGTGGGTTGAAATATACAGACACGATACTCTCTGTCATTACAACTATGTAAGCTATTTTAAATTTTACACACAAACTCAAGATATAATTATAGTGTGACTGTGATACAGCTTTGAGCTTCTCTCCCTTTGGTTTATGATGAGCTCGATTGTCAACGGTCAACTGGTTGAATCCCAATCTCCTCAAGATCCGTTTCCGCCGCTCGTTTCGTTTCACAGAGCTTCCAATCTAATTAAACCCACTGTGTTGGGGTGAATCAAAGTCGGTGTAGCAATATCAATATACATACTACCAATTAAGAAGCATCGAAAATAGGTAATTGAGATAGCCACTTTAAGCTGAAAGTTTTCCCATGGCTTTCCATAGTGGTGGTAGTACTGTTCTTCCCTTATTCTTTCTTCTCCTTCCAATATTACTTACAACATTGTTGTTCCCCTTCCAGGCTTCTCAAGCCGAAGCATTAGCAACAACTTCTTCAAATAGTACTAATATCATCCTCCGAGTGACCAAAGACCCGGAAACCCTCCAACACACCACCATTGTTCAACAACGAACTCCCCTCGTCCCCATCAAGCTCGCAGTTGACCTCGGGGGCGAAGCCCTCTGGGTCGCCTGCGAAGAAAACGGGTACAAAAGCTCGTCATTCGAGGTCGTGCGCTGTGGTTCCGCAACCTGCGCCACCGCCGGCTTCACATTCTGTGCGGACAGCTGCGCCGCGAACCCCCGGCCTTGGTACTGCGACAGGAACGCGTGTGTCACCACCCCGGTGAACCCTTTCACCAACATCCACGGCTACGCCTACAGCGGAGGTCAGGCGGCCGACGATGTCCTCGGCCTCCTCCTCCTCCTCGGATCATCAAATGCCGCCCGAGGGCTTGCTTTGGCGAATCGTTTCGTGTTCACTTGCGTGCCGGTTTGGTTCTCCGAGGGCCTAGCCAGAGGAGTTAAGGGGATAGCCGGGCTCGGGGCTAACCCGGGCGCGCTTCCAACTCAGCTCTCGCATACTTTCAACTTCCTTAGAAGGAAATTTGTTGTCTGTTTAAGTTCATCCACTAAATCATCCAGCGGCTTTGTAGCTTTCGGGGAATCAGTTCCTCTTAAGAGTGACATCTCCAAATCCCTGATTTATACTCCTATTGTTAAACATCCAGTTGGAAAGAAGTATAACCGAGTGAGGGAATTCTCGGAGTATTATGTTGGCCTAAAATCAATCAAAATCAATGGCAAACCCGTCCCACTGAACACCACATTGCTGTCATTCGATGAAGGCGGAAACGGCGGGACGAAAATCAGCACAGCTGATCCGTACACCGTTTTGGAAAGCTCCATTTACCAGAACGTAATCAAGGCTTTCCTCAGAGAAATCCCTTCAAATGTAGCACGAGTCGCGCCAGTGAAACCTTTCGGGGCATGCTTCAAATTAGGTTCATTAGTAGTACCTCCCATTGATCTGGTCTTCCAAAGCAACCAAAAAGGTGGTTCTTCTTCAGTGTGGAGGATTTCGGGGACAAACTTGATGGTGCGAGTTAACAAAGATGTGGCGTGCCTTGGCTTTGTGGAATATCGCAAGAATCTCGTGAATCGGGCAGCCGTTTCGATCGGCGCGCATCAGATTGAGGAGACTTTGCTTGAGTTTGATCTCATACTGTCCAGAGTTGGGTTTAGCCCTTCTCTTTTGTCCAGAAAGACATCATGCGCCTTGCAACTCCAAATTTGAATACATAATAGTGTTTTTTTTTTAATTTTTATTGACATATGAATACATACTAGTTTGTTTGTTTGAACAGCAACTTTGTTTTTTCAATAAGTAATGATACTTCAGAAGCAAATTATATATTAGTATACATTTGTTTGTGCCAAGTAATTACTACTACATTACTTGTGCTTAATTTTTTGCTCCATATTCTCAGTTACTATTTGCTAACAGAAATTTAGTCAATCGAATTAAGATAACCTGAAAACGACAATAGATTTTCCGCAACTTCACTGCTTAAGATAACTTCTCCGTTACTGCTATCTTTTCCATCTGCTTCTGAACGAAGGAGTGTGTGGTTGTTTGGACTTGGGAGGCTTTTGTCAATTTCAGAAATCAGATTAAAAATTCTAGAAAGAAGTTTTAAGGCAGTCAATAAAATATTGCAGGATGCCGTCTCCATAGAGATTCGATGGCCGGTTTGTAAATTAATTAATGTATTCATTAGTCCCGCATCGGCCCCGTGGAAGGCCAATTACCAGTATAAATTAAGGCGCATTAAGACGGTAGATTGTCTGAATTAGAAGATGCTACTCGGTAGTTTACTCTCTAATGATTAGGGACATTATACCCTCGCACTTGACCAGGCTTGGTCAATAGAGAGGGAGTTCGAATTCGGCTCGACAAGCTCGAAACAAATAGTTCAGATATGAATTTCTTCCCTCTTCCGTTGAGGCATTTCTACAAACACTTAAACTGCAGATAGCTTGTCAACGTGCTATTACCTCAAAACCTTCAAGAAAACATCACCCTCGGTTTACAAATTGGAGATAACATCAGTACTTCTCCTTAAGGTTCTCACCAACAAGGATAAAAAGAAAAGACCCATTTGGAAGAAATAATGAAAACTTATTTCTTATATTTCCTTAAGGTTCTCACCAACAAGGATAAAAAGAAAAGACCCATCTGGAAGAAATAATGAAAACTTATGTCTTCTATTGAAAGTCAAAAGAAAAGAAAGTGAATTCAAAGATAGGGAGGGCTTTGTTTGGAAATTGGTTAGACTGGAAGTTTGAAACTGAAGAAGAAAAATTTTGCAGACTAGAGAGGTTGGGGGTAGAGAAAGGCGGAGGAATCCAGGAGAGAAGAGGGAGAGGAAGAAAAGGAGAGAAGATAAGATCAAAACAAGAAGAAAGGATTTAATATATTATGACTAATAAATTTGATAATAAAACTTTATTTAATTATTACTCTCTCTATTCTACAAAAATACTTCAGTTTAATAAAAAATATTGTCCTAAAAAAAAGTCCAGTTTCAAAAAGTCAAAATAAAAATGAATCAAAATACAAAATTACTCTTACAACAAAACTAAATTTACTATTATCACAACACAAAAACAGACTGCTTACAAACTCAAAACCAGATTTCGACAAAATATCTTCAATCCTCTCCATCTAAGCCGCCAACAAGACTCCATTCTGCCTCTCGCCGGCGGTCTCCGGTCCTCTCCATCTAAGGCGCCGACGAGACTCCTTTTCCTTGCCTCTTGCCGGCGAAAATTTTTTGCCAATTGAGTTTCAAAGGCGACGAGAAATCCTCCTCTTCGAAGAATAAAAGAACAAATCCAGAGGGAGAGCAAGAAGGGGAAAAGAATGAAGAAGAGAGAGAAAGAAGGAGAAACCTTGAAGTTGACTGGAAACTTTGCCTTCACTTATTGTTCGACAGAGGAGGAGAGATTAAAACGGTAGAGCGAGAGAAGAGGAGGTAACATTGATTAACTAATTAATTTATAGGTACAAATGGAAAAATGAGAAAAAAAATGAGTTGTACCATGATTGAGTTGACTGAATTAAAAATGTTGTATATTTTTAAACTGGACAATTTTTGTGGGACGGAGGAAGTATATATTATATACATATCAGCTCGATTAGCTCGACGAGCCGACGAACAAGCATTAGCCAAACTCGAAATCGACTCGTCTCTTTAACAAACTGGCTCGAGATCGATTTGAACTCAGTCAACTCGAGTTCGAACCAAGCTTTGATAGAGCCATCTCGCGAATAACTCGCGAGCGGTGACAAGCCGTCGTCACACTAGTCAAATATTAATTACCTACTTAATACAATTACTAGTAGTAAAGCAGAAAGTAGGGTCGATCCCACGGAGAAGGAATACTAATTACCAGGTATAAATTACTCCTATTATTATCTAGATAAATGATGATCTCAGATTTATAAAATTTAAACCTAAAATAAATAAATAAAAGAAAAGCAAATAATATTAATTCAAATAATCAGACAAAGAAAACCTAGGACATTGGGTTCACCTACCGAATATTTGGTTTAGTTCAATTCACAAATATCTGACTTTTAACTTCCATTAATCTCACAACGATTCACCTAATTAGAACTATACACTCTCGTGTTATAATTCTCTTACTTATATTAACCTTATGACTACTCGCTTGACTATAGGGATTAACAAAAGCACATTAAGACCATTAAGAATCAAATATTGCAAAGGTTGTAATCTTACTCTCGTAGCTTACAACCTAAGTTTATTATTCCTACGAACTAATACTAATCTTCCACTCTCGCTACTTCAATTAGTATCTTCAGACATGCAAATAGTGGCCAATTACTTACACGAATTAAAACAAGAATAACAAATATTAATTAATGGAAAAATCAAATAATAATGAACCAAAATAAACTAAATAAATTTGGTGGCTACACCCAAGCCCTAGATTAAAAGAATTTAGCTACTAAACATTATTAAAATTAATTCAATAATATTTAGAGAAATAATAAAAATAAATAAATTAAATAATTAAACTTCAAAACCCGGAAGACGCCAAAAACCCGCCAAAAACTCCCCGCCGGTTGCTAACTTTGCTTCGCGGCTGCTACTTTGGTGGTGATGTGGATGATGATGCCGTCGGTGGAGGGGATTGAAGGTGGTGATTGTGGTGTGGGTGCTGCGCGAAGGATGATGGAGAAGGTGCTGCTGCTGTGTGTGCAAAGGCAAGGGAGGAAAAGTGTTGTCTCGGCGTGAAGAAGCAGAGGTGGTTATGGAAGCTGGTGGTGATGATGCTGCCGAAGAGAGGTGAAGAGGTGGAGGGAGATGGTGGCGAAGAAAGTTGCAGCGGCGGTGATGGAGGAGGTCGTGGATGATGATGATTAAGGTGGAGGAGAGTTGCAGCGGAGGAGCTCCGGTGGAGGAGGGCTGGTGCGTGGAGGAGAAGAAGGAGGCTGCGGCGGAGGGAGTTTTCAACCGTAGGATTTCGGTGAGTTTTCGGTCCAGTTCTGTTGTAAAAATAAATCTCTAATCCTCCTTTTATAGGCTTCCGGCTAAACCCTACTTCTGGAAGAACAAGAAAACTTGTTTTCCAAATAATATCGGGATTAAAATTCTTATCCAATTCCAATCCCAAATCAGCCGCACCATCAACGTAACCTTCGGCCAATTTTCCAAAAATTAAAATCAAATTCCAAAATTGCATCATTGGCCCTCCAATTCTCTAAACTCATTAATTTCTTCCCCATCAATTGCTCCAATCTTCAATTCTTTCCCGTTGAGTTGCTTTTAATTCGATTTTAGCTCAAAACTTCAACAATTCTTCCAATTGAGTACAATTCCTACAATTAAAGATAAAATCACATAAATAGCATATTTGTACTCAAAATATATTGCAAAAATCACAAATTAGGAATATAATAAATAGGTAAAATATAAGCATATCAAATACCCCCAAACTTGAATTATTGCTTGTCCTCAAGCAATCCCAAACATTAAACAAACAAAAACATTTAATTATTTAATTTGGCAGCCTTAGAGATTCAATCACATCATATAACACAAAGATTTCGACTACCTCTAGTATGGACTACCTAACAATGCAAACCATAGTTACTTTTAGCCCCCACGCTTGTGTGTGTGTGCTTCGTTTCTTAGGGACATCACTTTACATTTAATCATAGAAAACAAAAGTTCTACTGCAAATATGCCATTTTACTTTAACAACAAACTCACATTCATATCATATTTCAATGCAATGGACCACCAAACATACTATGAAGTAGAAGGACTCATCTCACAGACAACCTATTCTCCCTCGTAACCCATTCTTCGGTCATGCGGCTTTTCTTCAGGACTCTTTCCAACTCAGGCCACTACCCAGAGCATTTTTCCACTCCTATACATAGTGGCTCAGCAACTTAGGGCAGACTACATATCTATTTTCCTCACCGGGCCTGAGGACTCTCCGCTCAGGTTGCCAATTCCTCACCTCTCAATGAGCTAGCATCAACATTGAATGCTCTTCCTTTTCTCCCTCATTAAAATTTACCTAACCTCAGAAGCATCCGCCAACACCCCTCCCCCAAACTTACTTAACACAAAGTGTCAAAGCAATAAGGTTTTTTAAGGCTGATATTGGGTTAATGCCTTGCTTTTCCTTTACAACATGATGGGTTCCACATATAAATCATATAAGTATGAATGAATCAAATAACTTTCATGACGTATCTACATCAAACTTATGCAACTATATCTCACTTTAGGCTTATCCCACAGTCACGACTAAGTGCAAAAGAAAACAGGGTATTCAAAGCAACATACAGAAATACATAAGTTAAGCAATACAATTCAAAATAGCTTAATTCTTACATGTTATAGATAATCAAACCAACTTCATCATAGGCCTTTTTGGATTTTCAAAATTTTTCAATTTTTATGGGTTTTTTATTTAAGAAAGATAAACACAAAACGCATTCCTCTCCCCCACACTTAAAGTATACATTGCCCTCAATGTATAAAACACAAAAGACAAACAACCAAGTGTAAAGAAAAGAAAAGGCATAAACAAAAAGAATGAAAAGAAACGACACAACCTTGGGAATGTGAAGCGGAGGACCGGAATTGTTGAATAAATTGTTGCAACTGCCATTCAAACACACGACCAACTTCTTCAGACTTTTGGATGTTTCATTTTCAGCACCACTGGACACCAGAGTTATCGCCCGTCCAACAAACCTAATTGCAAACTAAAGAAAATTAGAATAATCAAACCTAAACACAGATGATTAAGAAAAACCACGAAAATCTAGAAATCAAAGATCTCCAGATAATCAGGAACAAAAAACTTAACCATCAACTTATTAATGAAAGAAAAAGAAAAATAAAGCAAAATAAAGAATTGGGTTGCCTCCCAATAAGCGCTTCTTTAAAGTCATGAGCCGGACTATCTGGCTGATCAATCAGGTGGACGCTCAATCAAAGAGTGAAAACCCCTTTGATACATCATTCTTCTTCCATTTCTATCTGTGCCTACATCACTGATACATATGTCAGGAGGATCTTTAGAATTAACAATGAAAACATCATTTTTATCTGGCTCCTTAACAGAATCAACTCTAAACACATGATGAGTAAATGCAGGGCATTTGTAATTTCCAGAAAAAGTGAACTCTACAGATTCTTCTCCAATATGAAATTTTAAACTCCCCTTTTTAACATCTATAACAGCACCAGCTGTGGCTAGAAATGGTCGGCCTAAAATAATTGGCACATCAGCATCTTCTTCCATATCTAACACAACAAAATCAACAGGGATATAAAATTTCTTCACTTTTACTAGCACATTTTCCAAAATTCCTTTCGGATGAGTTATGGATCTATCAGCTAACTGCAAAGTGATGTTAGTTGGTTTCAAATGTTTCAACCCAAGCTTTCTACAAACAGATAAAGGCATCAATGAAACACTAGCACCTAAATCACATAAAGCTTTATCAAAACAGACATCACCCATAGAGATAGGAATAGAGAAACTCCCTGGATCACTCAATTTTGGAGGCAACTTTCTCTGAATGACAGCACTACATTCCTCAGATAATGCAATTGTCTCAAAGTCTTCCACTTTTCTTCGGTTGGAGATGATCTCCTTCAATAACTTCCTATAAGCCGGAATCTGAGCTAAAGCATCTGCAAAAGGAATGTTAATATGCAATTGCCTAAAAATTTTCAAAAATTTCTCAAACAACCTATCTTGCTTGGTCATATGGAGTCTCTGCGGAAAAGGCACTGGTGGTGGCACATATATCTTTTCTTCCTCTTGTTCCACTTTCTCTACTTTTTCTTCATCACTCTTTTTAC